CTCACACAGGACCTTCACCGCCTTCACTGGTTCCGATTTGAAAGAGAGGTAGAGCTGAGTATCATCTGCATACTAATGAACACCCAGCCCAAACCCGCTAATGATCTCTCCCAGCGGCTTCACGTAGATGTTAAAAAGCATGGGGGAGACGTCGGAATCCTGAGGCACCCCACAAGTGAGAGCCCAGGCGTCTGAACACTCACCCCCCCCCCCGCTTTCTGGACACATCCCAGGAGGAAAGAGAGGAACCACTGTATAACAGTGCCCCCAGCAATGAATTCCTATGCCCCACAAATAACCCAGAGATGCATTTTAAATAAAAGGACACATTCTACTCTTGTAAAAACACACTGGTGCTACTACCGAGAAGGCCCTCTGCCTGGTTCCCTGTAACTTTGCTTCTCACAGTGAGGATACCGCCAGAAGGCCCTTGGCACTGGACCTCAGTGTCCGGACAGAGCAATGGGGGTGGAGACGCTCCTTCGGGTATCTGGGACCAAGGCCGTTTAGGGCTTTAAAGTTCAGCACCAACACTTTGAATTGTGCTCAGAAATGTACTGGGGGCCAATGGAGGTCTTTCAAGACCAGTGTTATGTGGTCTTGGCGGCTGCTCCCAGTCACCAGTCTAGCTGCCACATTCTGGATTACAGTAGTTGGGAGTTTCTGGGTCACCTTCAAAGGTAGCCCCACATAGAACCCGTTGCAGTAGTCTAAGCAGGAGAGAACTAGAGCATGCACCACTTTGGCGAGACAGTCTGCGGGCAGGTAGGGTCTCAGCCTGTGTACCAGATGGAGCTGGTAGACAGCTGTCCTGGACCCAGAATTGACCTGCACCTCCATGCACAGCTGTGAGTCCAAAATGACTCCCAGGCTGTGCACCTGCTCCTTCAGGGGCACAGTTGCCCCATTCAGAACCAGGGAGTCCCCCATACACTCTCACAAAATGAAAAGATAAAAATTATTTCAGTTTCCTCAGCAATTACCTTGAGCATGAGATAATGGAGAAGGTTATTGTTAAGGTATACGTGATGGAAAACAAAGGGACCACTTCCTTAGTATTTTTTTCAAACTCTTCTTGTCTGGACAATGAAGTAAAATAAGCCACCTGCCATAGGGAGCGGAAGGTGGGGTGGGGGAGAAGAGAAGATCACATGTTAAATATTCTCTCTCTCTTAATATATAAATCTAAATGCTCACAAGAGTATAAAGACAGGGTGCAATTAGCAGAATATAAGTGGGACCTGAAATAAATTTTGCAGCATGGAGTGCTCCTGTACAGGGGCCCAGGATAACAAACAATAAAAACATCCTTAAAACAATTCCAATACTGATGTAGACTGGGAAAGATCTCTACTTGCTAAGAGCAAGGTTCTTCAGCAGGCACTTAAAAGGCAGCCGATACAGCGTCTTTGTAATATTCAAACAGTGGGGAGTAATTCCAAAGGACAGGTGTCACAGCACTAAAGGCCCAAGTCCTACATTGTGAGGAACAGACCTCCTGATCAGGTGGTATCTGCTGGAGGCCCTCAGTGACTTGACTTGCCATCTAAGGGGTGAGGTGGTCTTTCAGATAGCCCGTCCTAAACAGTGCAAGACTTCATACACCAAGGCTTCAAGTTAGCCAGCCATGCCCTCTTTCAGAATCATCTATTTCACCCCGCATCCCATTGGACACTCAACATTCTGAGGCCGCCCAGCAATTCTCAGTCTTCATTAAGCTGCTTGGTTGGGTTGGCTGGACAAAGTCTCTAATGTCTCAAGTCACCAATGTGTGCACAGCCTATGACTGGCAGAGGCCGCAGGTTAGCACCACTGTCTGGCTTCCAACTTCTAGAGACAGCCACGAGTTTACATAACTTTTAAAATGGGATTAGACAAATCCACGGAGGATAATAATACCGATGGCAACCAGTCATGATGCTATTCCATGTCTCCAGCTTCAGAGGCAGCATGCCTCCAAGTACCAGAGTACTAATTGCTGAGAAACTAGAGCAAAAGAGGGATACAATCCTCATGTCTTGTGTGTGGGTTTCCCATAAGTATCTGCTTGACCATTATGGGTGAAAACGTTGCTTTGGTCTAATCCAGCAGAGCTCTGAAATTATTGTGCTTAAAAGTTTATTGGAGCAGGAAGAAGAAAAAAGAATTCTGTGGGAAGCAGCATGGAACTGAACAATTGTCTCTTTATTTCTCCCTTTATCTGGGGGTGGGCAGGGCAGGGAACAGAAGCCGTTAGTCTTCCTGTTAGGCCTGCCAGTAAAACTAACCAAATATTGAGGATTGTGAGGGAGAAATCCCATTTCTGCTGAAAGATACATCTTCCATATATTGTTTAAATGTGCATATTATACCCCACCTGATATTTATAATAAAATAATTGTCCAAAGGAGGCAAGATAATTAACTTTAAAACAAAGATAGCCTTTCAATAAAATGTCAGGCATTGATTTCTGGTTGGATGCTACAACAGAAGGCATAAGATCAAAGCAATGAGTTCTGTTTAATAGGGTGAGAGGGAAAACACATCCTAATTAATGAAAAGCTGCAACAGACTAACCCAAATGGAATAAAACCTACCTGTCTAGAGCAGTTCCTTTGCTTTCCTTCTGGATGCAAAGAAGCATATTAATAGCCTTACACTGAACAGTGTTACTGGCTCCAGTAGTCAAACCACTTAATTTAAAAATATTTTTTTAAGGGAGAGAAAGGTTATAAAGAGAGAGAGAGAGAGAGAGAGAGAGAGAGAGAGAGAGAGAGAGAGAGAAACTATTCAGGCCTGGGTAGCACAGAGAAGCAGAATTAGTTGCACTAATAACAACCCTAGCTGAGAAAACAGACACACTACAAATTTTGCTTGGGCTTGTTAGCTAACCCTCTGTTTTAGTAGCCAGTGAGGTTCTGCTTTCTGTTCTACAAAGGCTAAGTGAGCAAGTCCTTTTTTGTTTTCACTTTCGCAAAGAAGGAGGAGGGGTTCCTATGGGTGTGGAGCTGTGGGTTGGATGATATGCATTTCAAACAAATCAGCGCATCACACTGATATAATAATAATAATAATAATAATAATAATAATAATAATTTTATTATTTATACTTCGCCCATCTGGCTGGGCTTCCCCAGCCACTCCGGGCGGCTTCAAAAAATATATTAAAATACTGTACTGTAATACATCAAACATTAAAAGTTTCCCTAAACAGGGCTGCCTTCAGATGTCTTCTAAAAGTCTGGTAGTTTTTGTTCTCTTTGACATCTGGTGGGAGGGTGTTCCACAGGTAGGGCGCCACTACTGAGAAGGCCCTCTGCCTGGTTCCCTGTAACTTGGTTTCTCGCATCGAGGGAACTGCCAGAAGGCCCTCGATGCTGGACCTCAGTGTCCGGGTAGAATGATGGGGGTGGAGACACTCCTTCAGATATACTGGACAGAGGCTGTTTAGGGCTTTAAAGGTCAGCACCAACACTTTGAATTGTGCTTGGAAACGTACTGGGAGCCAATGTAGGTCTTTCAAGACTGGTGTTATATGGTCTTGGCGGCCGCTCCCAGTCACCAGTCTACCTGCCATGTTCTGGATTAGTTGTAGTTTCTGGATCACCTTCAAAGGTAGCCCCACGTAGAGCGCATTGCAGTAGTCCAAGCGGGAGATAACCAGAGCATGTACCACTCTGGCGAGGCAGTCGAGGCAGATAGGGTCTCAGCCTGCGTACCAGATGGAGCTGGTAAACAGCTGCCCTGGACACGGATTTGACCTGTGCCTCCATGGACAGCTGTGAGTCCAAAATAACTCCCAGGCTGCACACCTGGTCCTTCAGGGGCACAGATACCCCATTCAGGACCAGGGAATCCTCCACACCTGCCCGCCCACTGTCTCCCAAAAACAGTACTTCTGGCGGTTCCCTCTCTGCGAGAAGCCAAGTTACAGGGAACCAGGCAGAGGGCCATCTCGGTAGTGGCATCCACCCTGTGGAACGCCCTCCCACCAGATGTCAGAGAGAAAAATAACTACCAAACTTTTAGAAGACATCTGAAGGCAGCCCTGTTTAGGGAAGCTTTTAAAGTTTAATAGGTTATTGTATTTTAGTGTTTTGTTGCAAGCTGCCCAGAGTGGCTGGGGAAACCCAGCCAGATGGGAGGGGTATAAATAATAAATTGTTGTTGTTGTTGTTGTTGTGCCAGGAGACGCTTACCTGGATGGTTGCGAGGTTCAAAGATTTCAGCACGCCCGGGATGCGCTCCAGAAACGCCCGGAGCCAGAGCGCGCTGTCGTTTCTGCGAGAAGCCTCATCCTCCTGCAAGTAGTAGAAGAGGCGCAGCGCTTTGGCCGCCCGGACGGGGCGCGCCGGCCCATCCCCGGGGCCCAAGTCGAGGCCTCCCAGAAAGGGGGGCAGGAAAAGGGGGTTGGCAGTGAGCGGAGGGACGTAGAGCGGGAAAGTGAGGTCGGGCAGCAGCGCCTCGATGCGCGACCCGCCTTGCACCAAGCTGAGCAGCGGGTTGGCGCTGCTGCAGTTGTGGCCGGGGCTGCTCCGCGCGCAGAGCTGGGCGAAGGAGAGCGCGGCGCCGTCGGGGCTGCGGAGCCCCCGCACCGCCTCGTCCAGCGCCAGCAGCTCGGCGAAGGCCTCCCGGGTGAGGAGCGAGCCTCCGCCGCGGGCCACGGCCAGGAGGGAGGCGAAGGAGCCCTCGGTGCTCAGCCTCTCGGCCGAGAAGCGCCGCGCGTCGTCGGTGGGGAAGTGCGCCTGCACGAAGCGCCGCTCGCCCTTGGCGGGGCCCCCGAGCGGCGTGAACTGGCCCTCGATGTCGTTGTCCTCCAGGCTGCTCAGGAACGCGAAGCCGGCGCCCAAAGCGGCCGAGAGCGCCACGGGCACGAGCAGGAAGGGCCACGGGTGCGCGCCCACCTGGGCGCCCAGGGCCCGCAGCGCGCGCGACAGGGGCCTCTCCACGCAGTCCGTGTGGCAGTCGAGGGGCGCCATCGCTTTCTCTCTTTCTCCTCCTCCCAGCGGCGAAGAGAGTTAAGAGAGTTCAGACCGTTATCCGAGTACGCGAGGCGTAGGGCAGCCCGGCCCCACTTAGCACGAGTTTCTGAAACATCTCGAAAAGGGGGAACTGAGCGGGAAATGATGGTAAATATGGCCGCTGGGCGGAGGTTCGCCCTTCGGGAAACGCCCACCCGCTAACCGCCTCAGAAGTCGGTTGGGGGGAGGGAGCGAGGCGATGCTGAGGGAAACCCCGTTCAGCGAAGGCATCAGTTTCTTGGCTGCAATCTGGCCGCTACGTCTGAGGGAAACTCCCGAGAAATTCCAGAACGAGAGGGCGCAGTGCCTTTTTAAGCCAAGATGCAATGAAAGTGATCTTTTAACCAGTAGCCCGTCTAACTGGGAATTTCCTTCTTCTCGGCAGTCTTTTTTCCGCAAGGGTGGGCGACCTGCGGCCCCCCACTTCAGTTTACTGTACACTCACCGCATTTCCAGTGCAGAGTTTTTAATTCATGTTCCCATGACGTTATGTATTTTGTACTCCATTATAAAATACTGCTGAGTCCTTAAGCCACTCCTAATTTGTCTCTCCCCTGCCATCAGCACCCTCAAAGAGGAACAAATCTGACAGTAATGAAGCTGTCCTGATGAGAACAGTCGAAGGCAGAAAGAGGCATGAAACACACTGGCGGGGGGACGACGACGACGACGACAACAACTTAATAGCGCTCTGAGGCAGGAATGTGAACACACCCCAAGTATAAAAAAAATTGTATTTTACTTTCAGTTTTACTTCTTATGCACATGACCTGATTGTTTAAGGAACTTGCTTGCTGCTGCATCTGCTGTTTTGATAGTATTTAGCTCCTTCTGATAATAATAATAATAATGATGATGAGTGTGCCACGTATAAATATATATATATTAAAAGCTTGCTGAAGACCAGCTAGGATCCAGAAGAGCAAAAAGGCACTGTTCTTTAAAGCTAGCACTAAGAAGATTTCACCGAAGTTGAATGAAGCAGTTTTGGAATAAACTGGTGAGAAATTGCAGATTCACAAGAGATCATGAATCTAGAAATTATTATAATTATGTGATTGCCAAGCAAGTTCTTTTAAATGCCACGGTGAAAGGTTTTAGGTTTTTTATTGTACAGAATGATGCTTGTGCCGGATTTCAGATACCACAAGAATATAAATAGATTTCCTGCTCATATGACATACTAGTAGATATACTTAGGATGTGACATAGGCTCTGAACATACCAGATTTTTAATGTGCATGTGGCTTGCACAGCCCTGACTTTTAATTGCACTCTTTCTCAATGTTTTCCATCCACACTTGGGGATGCGCTGCTGTCCCCCCCCCCCCATGAATTCCAGAAACCTGTGGTCCATTGTGGGCATGCCTGCAGGTGTTTGTTTCCCTGTGCTTGCAGTCACTTTATATATATATGTATATGCACGTTTCCAAAATATCAGACATGTATTTTTTCCCTCCTTACTGTACTATCCACAGGTCAGTAAAATCTATTTACTCTTAATCGTATATCATTTATGAACAGGTTAAAAAGCACTGGTTCCAATACAGATTCTTGGGGAACCTCTCTTAGTACATGACTCTCTGGACCAGCCACAATATCTCAACCTGATTTATCTCACAGCATTTTTGTGAGGATAAAATGGAGAAGAGGGGGCCATGTATGCCACACGGAGTTCCTAGGAAGAAAGGTGAGATATAAATTTAGGAATGAATAAATCCCTCCATTGTGAGAATTGTCCATTTATTCCTCCTCTGTGCTTCCAGCTACCGTTGCACAACTACTAAAATTGCTCAGGAGCCTTGGGTGAGGGACTTTGTCAGAGGCTTTTTAAAAATCCCAAGCATACAATGCTTACTAGATAACCCTGAGGGATAGCTCAGTTGGTAGAGCATGCGGTTGTGGGTTTTAGGTTCAAGCCCCGCATTGGATGAAAGATTCCTGCATCGCAAGGGGTTTGGACTAGATCAGGCACGTCCAACAGGTAGATCGTGATCTACCGGTAGATCAGTGGACATCTGTGGGAGATCACTGGCTCCCCCCAAAGAAGCTCAACAAGTTTGGCTCCTCTAAAAAAAGCTCACCAACTTTGACCTGAGCCGCAAGAAAATGGGGCTTTCCTCCTCCCTAAAAAAAGCTGAACAACTTTGACCTGAACCCCCCAAAAAGGGGGTAGATCACTGCCAGTTGTTAACTCTGTGAGTAGATTGCAGTCTCTTGGGAGTTGGCCACCTCTGGACTAGATGATCCTACTGATCCCTTCCAACTCTTATGATCCAAGCTTCAAGCAAGCCCCATGCACAAGCTTATTGACATTCCCAAGGAACTGTGAAAGATTAATGAGACACAACTTACTTTGGCAGAAACCATGATGATCCTGCTTTGGAAGATTTGAGTTTGCATATTTTTGATTAACTTTAATAATGCTTTCCACCCACCAATTTACCTAGAAAACACGTTAACTAACTGGCCTACAATTTCCTGGATTCCCTCTGGATCCATTGTTTAAATTGTGTGCTACATTGGTCACTTTCAAGTTCTTAGGAATGGAGGCCAATCTTAGGAACTCGTTACATATTTTTTGTTAGGTCAAACAGTTTCACGTGTGAGTTCTTTAAGAACGGTCACTGTTGGGCTAAAGTGGGGGACCCCCATTCACATCCCCTTCCGGTCATGAAGTTCATGGGGTAACTTTGGGCCAGTCAGTTTGTCAGCCCAACCTACATCAGAGGGTAGGCTGGAAAGATAAAACAGCAATGTGGTGGAAATAACCATGCACACCACAATGAGGAAATGTAGGTGTTGTTTTGGAAAAAATGCCCCCAAAGGTATAAAAGTAAAAAGCAAGGGAAACTAGTCATATACCAAAATTAAATGGTATCAGTAGGGTTCATGTGGAGGACAGCAAGGCTCACTTTAGATCCCCACCCTTGAGCAATGCCTACAAGTAATTACAGTGGTACCTTGGTTCTTGAACTCAATCCGTTCTGGAAGTCCGTTCGACTTCCAAAACGTTCGCAAACCAAGGTGCGGCTTCTGATTGGCCCCAGAAACAATGCCGGCAGCTGAAATGGACATTTGGCTTCCAAAAAACATTCACAAGCCAGAACACTTACTTCCGGGTTTGCGGCGTTCAGGAGCCAAGCCATTTGGCAGCCAAGGTACCACTGTAATCCTTGCATGGACATTGGGGTGGGACTCACTGACAAGAGGTGTGGTTTTGCTCTGCTCCACGTATTAGCTCTATGAAGGTCATGCAATTTTCTGATGAGGGCTACAGTCTGCAGTGGGGTAGCCAACATGGTGCCCTCCATGTGCTGCACTTCAACTCCCATCAGCCTCCAATTCCCATCACCCCCAGCCAGCATAGCCACTGGTCAGGGATGATGGGAACTGTAGTCCAACAAACATTGTGACTGCACTATGTTGGCTGCCCTTGGTCTCCAGAATGTGTAAAATGTCAGTGGATGAAATATTGCTTCATATGATCTATGGAGACAAAGATGTTCTCACTCGTGCTTCTCTTTGTATCATACAGTTGAAGAAAGATTCGGAGAATATCATAGGCATCAGTGCAGTTCTTACTCCATTGGCTGATTTATAAGCGTTGCTGTGCAATGGATTCTGGCGATCAGGAGCCCTTCACCGTCACAACGAGCATGCACAAATACGTGGAACAATGTTTGCTGGGACTGGGACAGATTCGTCTGCAAGTCCAACATGGTGGCTATGGGGGACGGCTATGGTTCAGTGGCAGAATGTGTATGTTGCATGCAGAACGTCCTGGGTTCAATCCCCAGCTGGGAGAAAACAGTGTCTGAAATTTTGGGAAGCCGCTGTCAATCAAGGTAGACAGTACTGAGACAGATGGGCCAATGGTCTGACTCAGTAAAAGGCAGCTCCCTGTGTTCCTATGACCGATGTTTTTCATATGTACATTCAATGGTTTTACTTATAATTACAGTATTATATATTTATTTATACCCCACCTTTTTCCTGATGGGACTCAAGGCTGCTTACATGTAAAAAGGAAACACTAAAGAAAACAATTAAACATTGTTAGAAGTAAAACTACACACATATGTAAAATCTATTAAAACCACACAAATAATTACAATAAAAACAGCATGGCACCAGCCCTCTCATTAAAAGTTCCCAAAAGCCTTTTGGAACAGAAGCTTTCACCTGCTGGCGGAAGGACAACAAGGAGGGAGCCAGTCTTACATCTCTAGGGAAGGAGTTCCAAAGTCTGGGAACAGCCACCGAGAAGACCCTCTCCCTACCAAGTGTGCCTGGGAAGGTGGCAGGACTCAGAGAAGGGCCTCTCCCAAAGATGTCAACATCCAGGCAGGTTTGTATGAGGGAATACGGTCTTTCAGATAGCTTGGACTAAAGCTGCGTAGGGCTTTAAAAGTCATAACCAGTACTTTGAACTGTGCAAAGAAGTCATGTGCTCTCCGGTCTACGATCTGGCTGCAGCTTTTCGAGCCAGTTGAGGTTTCTGAGCACTTTTCAAAGACACCCCGCATAAAGTGAGTTACGGCGTTTTCATTTAAATGCTAAATAGCATGGGGGCAGAATAGAACCCTGAAGGACCCCATAGGCCAGGCATGGCCAAACTTGGCCCTCCAGATGTTTTGAGACTACAATTCCCATCGTCCCTAGCTAACAGGACCAGTGGTCAGGGATGATGGGAATTGTAGTCCCAAAACCTCTGGAGGGCCAAGTTTGGCCATGCCTGCCACAGGCCAACAGCCAAGATGTTGAACAGGAGTCCCCCAGGACCACCTCCTGGGTTTACCCATCCAGGAAGGACAGTGCCACTGTAAAGCAGGACCTCCAAGTCCCAGCACAGAGAGATAACCATAGTCCAGATCTTTCCAAACTTTTCACGTTGGTGACACTTTTTGGACATGCATCAATTTGCAACACAGTCATTCAGTTTTACTAGCAAACCGTAGGTTAAACTAACCCCTTTCCAGCCCTGGCAGGAGCGTGGGGAGTGTTCGCGTGACACACCTACACACTGCAGCCAACACACTAACGTGTTGCAACGCACATTTTGGAAAGCTCTGCCATAGCTGATGATATCAAAAGCTGCGGAGACATCAAGAAGAACTAAAGGATCTAGCACACGGTAGCTCTCATATTTTCAAGGATCCTGTCCACATCCTTGGGCTGTAGAGTTTGAAAAGTCCAAAGCAGAGTCCAAAGTTACATCCACTGGACCTGTATCAACTACAGTATCCGAATCTGAAGAAATCCGAGAGGTTTTGTCAACGAAGTGTTGAGCAAATTGTACACAGTGGTCACATGGACCAGAGTGTAAAAGACCCCGGACCACTTGAAACAGCTCTGCTGGATGGCTCGTTGCTGATGCAATGGAGGCAGAGAAAAAAGATTTAATGGATGTTTGCCAGAGATGCATGAGCTTCTCGTTAAGGAACCCTACCAGACTTACAATGAACTTCATAGTTCCACAGAATGTGAATTGAAAACCATTGCAAAAGCTACTTGCGTGACTAGCACAACCATATTCTAGGTCAGGGGTCAGCAACCTTTTTCAGCTATGGGCTGGTCCACCATCTCTCAGACCATGTGGTGGGCCAGACTATATTTTGAAAAAGGAAAGGAAAAAAAAAGAACAAATTCTTATGCCCCACAAATAACCCAGAGATGCATTTTAAACAAAAGCACACATTCTACTCATCTAAAAACATGCTGATTCCTGAACCGTCTGCGGCCGGACTGAGAAGGCAATTGGGCCGCATCTGGCCCACGAGCCTTAGGTTGCGTACCCCTGTTCTAGGTGGTATTTACAACTGCATATGCCAAACTATTTTAAAAGGAGAGAGGGAAATGGACTGTGATTTTCCAGTGGCAAAATAAAACAGTTTGAGTATTACAAAAATTCAATATATTTGAACGGAAGCAGCAACTTTAGACAAAAGAGAAAAAACAAATGGCTGTAACAAATTTGTAAAATTTGCATCTGTAATGTTGACCTCCGCTGATCTCCCACCCCCCAAAAAACATTTGTCATCAACGTCACCAGCCATATTAACAGACTGATCCTAAAGATAGTGTAAGTTGTAGCTGAACTGGTGCACAGGGCAACACACTGCGATATAGCTGTCAAGTTACTCAGAAGCCTTGTTCCATCTTGAGATGAAGCACAAAACTGAACTTTATTTTCCTGTTCAGTCTAGTCTTCTTCCACAGTGCCATCTAGTGACACTTGTGTTCAGAGAGCTAACTCCTCGCCCTCCCTGAAGTTAACACAGAAAAGTAAACACAATAAATAAATAAACTGAATTATTTTAATAGTATACATTACAATTTTTGATGGAGGTCTGGAGAGATCACCTCAGCTTTCACCTTCATTATGTCCTGTTGACAGTCAGCCCTGTTTCACATGAGAATTGCCCCTCAGTGCTTTTAAGGATTGTATCCACGGCACCGATTTCAGATCTTCTCTTTTGACAAACCTCACATCAACGATTCTGTTTCCTTTACCGATGATGATGAAGTCTGAACTGGGGGGCACTCCAGAATACAAACTCTCCCATTTAAAAATGGTTTACACAAATACAATGAGAGCCCAGATCGTATGAGATTTGGGCCTGGACTTAATTTGCCTCATACAGGGACCCACACTGCAACCAGCTAGACTTCTCCCCACACTGCACCCCCTTATCTAGGTGCCCGCCATGGCTCTGAACCCAAGGCACAGCTGGGACACCAACACAAAAGAGGAGAAGCAAAGTGCTTCTGTAAAGGCAACCGTCACAGCATGTTGTTAAGCTCCTTACAGGCCCCCAAACCATCTTTATCCCATTCTACTCTTATCTGGGGCGCACCATTGCTATGGTGTCTGAACCATGCCATCACAAACAGGCAGGTAGTGCTTTTGGAGTCTGCAGATGAACCTGAACAGTTGATTTTAAGGAATAATATCCCCAAAAAAGAATGTTAAAAACACAGGAATAAAAACGAGACCGTGAACGAGTCCCAACACGATAACCAGAAACATTATCTTAAAAAAAGTTCTAAAGATGTAAGTGGAAGACATGGACAGCACCAGGATACCCGCAATGGTGGAAACAGCTCCCTGTAGGACAGGGTAACCAAGGCGGTAGAGAGATTCCACTGCCTTGTCATTCACTCTGGGTTCCTCACTGGCAATGAAGGCATAGGAAATATGGGCTGAGAAGTCTACTGAAAACCCTATGCAGATAACAAGGCTGATCATGGATATGGAGTCAAGGCTCACATTCCAAAAGGCCATGAAACCAGACACACCAACAATAACAGAGGTAATAGCAAAGGTTACCCACAGGGAGCAAAGAGGATTGGGGATGAGCAGCAAGGAAGTAATTAACATGGCACCAGCAGCGCTCAAAACACTATGAATGGTGTTCTGAATTATTACATTGTATTGATCAAAGTATATAAAAGCTGGATGATAAACCATCAGTGGTAACTTACAGTCCTCTGCAAGCTGTCTGAACTGGTTTAAAAGTTCCTTCTTCTTCTCTACATTGGTAATACTGATGGTCTGTACGAAAAATCGTGACACTGGAATTTCCATAGCACTAACATTAACATCCCACTTAGATTCTGGATGTACTCTAAACAGGGCTGATAAATTGCCAATAAATGAACTTCGGTCATTTAAATTTGAAGAAATGCCTTTTGCAACAGTTTCGTAAGTTCTCAACCATGACTCTGAAAGATCCTTGTCCACATAGGAAAGATTTTCCATTGATTGCATGCAGTTCTCAAGATCTGCACGGACAGATGAATTCCAATACGGTATGCTTTCCCTAACAATAACCATGACCCTGGGGCCATACTCAGAAAAATATTTTTCTTCCAGGTCATAATACGGAATGACATAAGAACGATCTACAGCTAGATTTCGGACATTTATTCCTTCTTTAAGTTGTCCGCACCCATAACTACTACTTACCAGGTATGCCAGATACAGGACTGTCACAAACAACTTGGTCCAGGTATGCATCAGGAAGGGGCCATAGTAATTTTTAAAGAAGCCATTCATGGGATGCTCAATCTCTGCTCCAGTGGACTCATCAATAAACCCTCCTATACAGCACCTGTTATACATAGGGCTCTTCAAATCTTGAGGCTTATCCATCACTTTCTGAAACGTTAGCCAATGCCTGTTGCTTTCTTCTCTTCGGCCATTAAGAGCAATAATTGCCCCAAGGAAAGTCAGGTTGTAGACGTAGCAGAAAAGAAAGGCTGTGCCTGTATACAAGCAAAATGACCGAATGGACATGAAGGAACTTTCAATTCCAATGTAGAAGGCTAAAACGTCGGTAAGTGTTGTGATGGTAACGGAGACAGCTGCATCTGCGTAGGTGTCAGCCATCCGATCTTTGACACTCTTCTTCACTTGAGTCTTCTGCCAGCAGGACACCAGGATGAACATGTCATCAACACCAACCCCTGAAGAACAGGAACTATTGATCATGCCAGTTGCAAACATGCCACAGGAGAAACATGTGAATATATAGATATATACAAGAGGAACACACCTAGTCATTTTTTATTTACAGATTAGTAAGTTATATTAATATTGCAATTCTATATATAAAACAGAGAGCCCTGTGATGCCTTAATAACAAAAGACTTCCGTTGGAGACAATGGCAAGCTTTCCCCCAGACTTCACTGTAGTTATGGACAGGATGCCATGAGCTAGACAGACATCCAGCCTGTGTTCTACCAGTTCCCCACTCTGGTGCACACAACTGGAACCTTACAGTGCAATACTATACCTCTCTACTCAAAAGTAAAGGTAAAGGGACCCCTGACCATTAGGTCCAGTCGTGGCTGACTCTGGGGTTGTGGTGCTCATCTCGCTTTATTGGCCAAGGGAGCCGGTGTACAGCTTCCGGGTCATGTGGCCAGCATGATCAAGCCGCTTCTGGCAAACCAGAGCAGCGCACGGAAACGCCGTTTACCATCCCGCTGGAGTGGTACCAATTTATCTACTTGCACTCTGATGTGCTTTTGAACTGCTAGGTTGGTAGGAGCAGGGACCGAACAACAGGAGCTCACCCCATCACAGGGATTCGAACCACTGACCTTCTGATCGGCAAGTCCTAGGCTCTGTGGTTTAACCCACAGCCCCACCTACTCAAAAGTAAGTCTCACTAAATTCAATGCAGCTCACTCCCAAGTAAGTGGATATAGCTGATCATAGTGCAGATCATAGAATTGGAAGGGGCCCTGAGGTTCATCTAGTTCAAGACCCTGCAATGCAGGAATATGCAGCTGTTCCATAGCCTAAGAAGATTAACCATGACAGAGCACCATAGAGCAGAGCTTTCCAAACTGTGTGTCGCGACATGTTAGTGTGTTGGCTGCAGTGTGCCGTGCAAACGCTCCCAGTGCTCCTCCAGGGACTGGAAAAGGG